CATTATAAAAAAATGATCAAGATATTATGAATGTTATATTTGTTGTTCAAATATTTAAAAGAAAACTACATGATAAAAGATATAATAAGTAGGACTATTTATTTAAAAAAGTATCTTTATTATGCTAGGAATATAGCATTATTTTTTTTAATGAGAAACCCACGGGAGAGGGGCCTACACATCAATAACAAAACTTGGTTACAAACCCTCTAAAATACATCAATTGAATTAAAACATAAGAGCCTCGAAATTCAATTAAGCAAACCAAAACCAAAATTAAAACCAAACAACAGAAGTCCCAAAGCTAACAGCAGCCAAGCAGTTTATAACCAATTCCTGCAAAAAACAAAATATAATCGAAGAAAAACAAAAATGATCATAGCATAACAAAAATCTACCAGGCATCCACCACACCATCATAACAATCACGAAGCCAACAATGAAAAAAAAAAACCCTAAATCAAGCATGAGGCCTTCACACCCAATCAGCCAAAATAAACCACAAAACCAGAAGAGGGATTACTTCTTCTTTGATTTTCGCCTACGCCACTTCTTCCACTAAGGAAAAAGCTTTTATGAATTTTAGTATTCACATTTAAACCATATAACTCAAGAAACTCCTCCAAGAGCTCATCAAACCATCTCCAGCATCCCCACAAGGTGAAGAACCATATCCATCCAGCCAATCCAATTGATCCACACTATTTTCAATCACATTTGAAGACAATTTGGCCTTCAATTCATCGGAAGACATAAGCTCAATTAACACATAAACAAAGGCTCCCTCTCAATCCCCCTCAAGTTACACAATACACATCAAGCCCACAGAAGCAACAATATTTTCATGACATTTCACCAGCATATAAAAAATCAGAACATCTATAGAACCAACAATGTTATAAGCCATAGGATTTAAGGAAATCATAATACCACCAGAATTTGTAATAACATCATATTCATTTCCATCATCAAATAAAATGAAATTGTCACTAACGTTAAGCAAAAAAAGTATCAGTTTCCTAAATCTCTCCAACACCCTCAGGGAGCGCACAATTATAATTCACAGACATAATCGACTAATCAACCCCCATAATAACCTATGGGTCATCTCCCACAACAACAACCAATTCAGTTCCAGAATGAACTGACACCCCACAATACTCGCCACCACCACCTAAATGATCACCAATACCCTCCAAAAGCGCTATAGTTAGAAGCTCAGTCACATCATTAACATCCTCCACCACCAAATTATTAACATGCAAAGAAAGATTTGAATTAGGAATAGCAACATTAAACTGATTATCCTTAACAACATTAGTGTTGCCATCAAAAGTATTAAGAGAATTAGCATTAATAGGAGCATTCTCCTGGATAGAAGTCAAGAGGGGACAAGCTTCTCTCAAATGACCAATACATTTACAATGAACACAAAAATTATGAAAAACTTCCATCTCAACAAGTTGAATAAAGCCAATTTTTTGGGCCAATCCACACTCTATCAGGATACTTTTTTGGTGATGTCAAGTTCTACCAACACACATGCAACAGACGGACTACGCCCTAAAGAAGCTGCATTATCAACCTTTAATGGCTGCCCAAACAAGGTTCTCAATCCATGAAGGATATGATGGGAGAAAAATTGCGGCCCCAACTTTGGAAAGGAAATCCAAATCGGGATCACAGGTGACTCAACACCAATATCAAAAATGGGGACCATTTAGTTAGCCCCATGTAGCAATGGATAATGAAATAGGATCGATGACAAAACCCCTACTGTAATCTAGATCATTCACCAGCTTAATCTGGACATGCGACATATTCAACGACATAAACAAGAAATCATTTAGTTTCAGGTTGAAAAAGAACCTACGGATAGATTCGATGGAAGGACAACGCGAGGAGAAAAAACCAACCAAAGCGAATTTAAAGGGCACTGCCAGTGAGAGGATCTCCTCCTCCAAAATCCAAAGAGAGGGCAAACCTAAAAAAACAGTCGATTTTGACTCCGAAAAGCAAGCATTAAAAGGATTTCCAGATAAGGCCTCCAAAAATGAATGCGATTTCAATGAAACATCCAAAAAACCAAGATTCTTCAAGCGTTTCACAACCATTCTGGCCGTAGCAGTCCGGAGGTGGACTAAACGGGAAAAAAGGATCACAAAACCGCAAAAACAACAAAACAATGAAAGGGAAAGAAGCTCCCTTGAAATGACCACCAGCACGGTGCCGGACAGCGCCGCAGAGAAAGCATAGAAAATCCTAATGGAACGGGGGTGAGATGCGGAAGCAAATGTTAAAATATATTATAGCATTGTTATTCTACGTATGAATGATAAATAGGTTACATGCAAATATCCTCATCATTGACTTCAAAGTATAATAAATTTATATTATAATGAAGTTAACATATTGTACAATCATTGATATGTAATTTTTAAAGTTGAATAATCATTTCACAGATATAAATATTGAACTATTTTCATATAATACAATTTAAAAAACTCATTCAATAAATTCAATCAAAGCAAGTTTATCACAATGACAGAATTTTTCCAAAAAAATTTTCTTTAGTATATATAAAGAATATTGATAATTGATTGGAGACTTATAATATTCACATATCATTTGATGTTAATTCTCATTTTTAAATATTACCGGAACACAGTTCATCTTGATTTGTTGTTTGGGAATTTTGGTTACCTGCCCAGAGGTCTTGGTTCCAAGTTTACGTAAGTGATGGGTGTTAATTTGTCTAATCGGCTCAAAAATGGACTATTGCAGTGAAGAATGAGCTTTTTTTAGTAGCAGTGGTAATAGATTTAATTTGGATTCTTACAGATGTATAATACCCAAAAAAATGAATTACTAACATAGCATCATAATCTTTAATATTACGAGCAATGTATCTTAATTATTTTTTTTATCAATAAAAAAATTAATCAATATTCATTGTCAAATCTTAATCTTAGATTACTTAGGCATAATCTTGGGATCATCAGTTAGCTCAAAGTACGCAGCCTAAGGGTGTAAACAAGTTATGTCGAGCTCGAGTCACCTCTAACTTGAGCTTGAACTTGATTAAATAACTAAGTTTGAGCTCGAGCTCGAGCTTATTTCATGAGTTTGAGTCAGCTCATAAATTGGCTAACTTATTTTGAAAGAGAGAAAATGATTATGATTCAAACAATTAGTATAATAAAATGATAAAAAGAATGAAAATTTAGAAGAAATATAATAAAAGCTGCTTAATAAAAGAAAGTAAGATATGATTTTTAAAGATTTTAAGCAATTCTTTACTTAAAATACTTAATGCTAATATAATTTAAGTTCATTTTACATTAAAATTTTTTAAACGAGCAAGCTTGTAAGCTAACGAGTCAAGTAAATGCTAGCTCAAGCTTGACTCATTAGCTTATCGAGCTCAGCGCGCTCATGAATCATATATTGAGTTAAGCCCATGTTAGCTCACAAATAGGCTTGACTCACTTAACCTCTCTCAACCCAAACAATAATTTTGTTTAGGCAAAGAGTTTTTGACCAAGAAGCATGAATGGACCTTCCCTAATCTTGCTCAATTGTACTTAAAAATCTTAGCCTGGTCCATGTTAGGGATTATAGGAAAATTATTTTCATAACCAATGAAAACATTAAATATTTTTTCTGAATTAACACAAACTAATCAAATTACTAAGCATTCATAATTTGGTCAACTGTAAGCTATGATTTCTGTAGAATTCAAGGCCCATAAACATTGACCATGCACTAATCCGGATTCTAAATGCAAGCAAGGCCTCCTTGCCTCATATGCTTCAAATTCTCTTAACACAAATAGTAGAAAATACGAAGAGACATTTAGGGCTCTCTTTGTAGTGAGATTTCACATATTAGAGTTAGAAAATAATGTGGTCCTCTTTAACTCTTTAGCTTTCATTATGTTTGAGTTCTTAATAGTGAACAAATTTCTCTCTTATCAAATAAAGTAGAAAATTATATCATCCTTCACCTGCATATACTGCTATAATGCTATATATATATATATATATATGGCACTTTTATTGTACATTTAGAGATAAATTTTTTGCTAGTCACTTTATGTTGGAGTGAGATTATTGTAGATCTAACTATGATATATTTTGATATTGATAATATATCTATGAATAACAAATATAAAATATTTTTTAAAAAAAAACATGGATGTAATAAAATTTATAGTTTAGTTTTGAATAATATTTTTTCTTGAAATGAGCAAATTAACTCGCAAACTAATATATATCATAGATGAGTAATTTCTTTATATATATATATATATAGTGATCCATTTGGAAGACAAGAAAGTGAAGTCAACCACGACACCATATTTCTTCCTTTTCAGCATGCGGGCAAAGAAAAAATGGTGTTGTCTACTTAATAGATGCAATGACTTTCCATTAAAGGAAAAATGGTAACTACTCATTCAAATGTCAAGCGGAAAACCATTAGAAAAAATACGGTTTAAAGTACGCTTATATATGTACTATTGATAAAAGCTCGATCTCCTGCAAATAGTTATACCAAAGCAATTGATTGATATAATTAGAAATAAACTTATATATTTATGTTTTGGCTATTTTTTATTTTTTTGAAGAAAAATTTTTGTACAAAATTAGTAATTAATTCAGTTTTTTACTTTTTACAAAATTTTAAAATTAAATCTTCGAATTCTTTTTTTTTTTTTAGGGTTTAGGAATTCGACTATCAGAGCTCAACACCAAAGACTGTCCTATTAAGGAAAAATTATTAGGTTCGGACACCTGACGTAACTCTACATCAGGACGCCAATAACATGTCGCCACGTGCTCTTACTCTTTACAGTGCGGCCCAACGACCCGACCCAGGCCGGAATTGCTAGTTATTGCTCGGTATTGCTAGGTATTGTTCGATATTGTTATATATTGTTTGGCAATAATGAGAAATATCGCTCTGTCAAGACCAATACCTAGCAATACCGAGCAAAACTTAGCAAAACTGGGATATTGCTCGGTATTGCTAGGTATTGATCTTGACAGATTGGTATTTCTCGTTATTGCCGAGCAATACTGAACAATACCTAGCAATACGCCGGTCTTCACAAATCAGCCAATACGTAGCAATACCGGGTCCGGGTTGTCGGGCCGTACGATAAAGAGTAAGAGCAAGTGGCGACATATTATTGGTGTGCATACCTAATAATTATTCCCTATTAAGTGGGTTTTGTCAGTTCGGAAGGTGAGGGCATGCGGATCGGGTAGGTGGGCGGGGAGATCATTTCTGTACAGGATTTCTGAGCTGCCGTGTCAAACCTGCGTGATCCAAAAAGTGCAGTGTCGGATGTATAGTGTGATTAGTTTCACGGATAAATAGCTTGATTAGCCTCCAATGGAGTAAGCTGGTCTGCTAAGTGCTAACCTGTGCTAACCTAATTTCCTTTGCTTCTATAATCCGAGCAAGAAAGTAGAAAATGGCCGACCTTTATCGTAACGCCGATCAAGTCAAGTTTTACGCCTCGATCCGCCCGACCTACCCGCCTGAGCTCTTCGACTTCGTCGCCTCCAAAGCACCGAGTCGCCAACTCGCCTGGGACGCCGGAACGGGGAGCGGCCAAGCTGCCGTTTCCCTCTCCTCTCTCTTCGACTCCGTCGTCGCAACTGACTCCAGCCCCGAGCTGATCTCTCACGCCCCAACACACCTATCCAACATCCGCTTCGTCGTCACACCGCCCTCGCTTTCCCTCCCCGATCTCCACCGCCTCGTGGCACCACCTGGCTCCGTCGACCTCATAACCGTCGCTACGGCTCTGCACTGGTTCGACATCCCGGCCTTCTTCGGACTGGCACGATCGGTCCTCCGCCCCGGAGGAGTGTTAGCCGCGTGGTGCTACGACGGCTTCGTGAACATCGACGGGGGGAGGGTGGATGAAATCTATCGGGGATTGATGGAAGCGACGTGGCCGTACGTGGATGAGAAAGTCAGGGCGATGGTTGTGGAGGGATATGCAGGGGTGGAGTTTCCGTTCGAAGCGGTGGAAGGGGTGGAGGAAGGGACGGCGCCGGTGAGGAGGTTTGCGGTGGAGAGGGAGCTGGGATTGGAAGGACTGATCGCTCTCTTGAAGACTGGGACGGGGTATCAGAGGGCGAGGGAGGCGGGTGTGGAGGTGCTTACGGAGGAGGCGGCGGATGAGCTAAAGAGAGCTTGGTTTGAAGATGGTGAGGAGGTCAAGAAAGTGAAATCTCCGATTAAGCTAAGAATTGGAAGGATGGGATCGAGCTAGTCTGCAATAATGATTAAGCAAAATATTGGGGATCCATAGATCGGCGGGGAGCCTAATAAATGTGTTTAGAGTTAATTAATGTGTTTGATGGTGCTTTTTATTGCTGTTTAGAGTAATTCGTCCGCTTCCTTCAGGTTGTAATGGCGCTCCCAAGCCTAATAGATTATAAATTTGCTGTTAATGCTGTTAAGGCCCATTTAGTCGTTTAGTCATTTTGATATTCATACTTATAGATATTTAATTTTAAGATTGATAGGTCATCCAAAATCAGCTTGATATGGCACAAATTTCGATGCATGTTTGAGATTTACATACATACCACTTAATACTATTATATTTACATATTTAACACCTAAAATTTTAATATTACATACATAACACCCATAGTTCATTTTCATATCAAATATGAGTGGTAGAAATGAAATATATGAGTGGAAGGAAAGAAATATAAGTGGTATATTTGATATTAAAATAATATAGGTTGGTATGCATGTAATTATATATATATATATATATATAATAATAATAATTCAAGCTTCTCAACGAGACAAACCTAATAAGCCCAAGATTGCTTTAATTATCATAACATTATGACACTTAAAAGTTGAACGACTGCTTTAAAAGGGAATAAATAGCAGCTATTTAATTAGATAATGAATATAGCTTCAAATAGAATTTATTTAATTCTATGGGTCGAGAATTTTCAAAGGAGAAATATCCTATAATTAGTTATTTCTAGTGTACATGGGAACACTAAATAATAATAATAATAATAATAAAACTAGGAACACTATCTATTGATAAATCAATGCTTGAGTTCAAATTATGTAGGATTAATGAAGATTTGATCAAGACAAAATTAAAATGTTTCTTATAGGATCAATGTAGCCCATGAAGGAAATGTAAACTCACGAGTATCGAAACAAACATGAAAGAGGGATTTATAATTCCAAACTAACCATAAGAAAATGCCCAAGATTTTACATGAAGTGTCATGTGGTGACAGCCACCAAGAAGAAAAGGTTTAAGCAGATGTAATAAAGTGAGGAATAATCTATCTAGTAGTTATAATGTCCATGATTAAGAACACATAGTTCCATTGTCCCAAGTTCGTCAATACCCTTAATCTATTTAGTCATATAGCAACTTGGATCCTTATCAGCAATCATAGGCAATCTCATCCAAAGGGACTTCATAGACCAAGAGAATGGACCTAATTCTGAACATAGATGTAAATTACACTCTATTATCAAAGAGAGAAACTAAAATTGGACTTTTAATACCTCATAATGGTGCATTTCAAGGTTGACAAGGCTATGTAGGCTATAGGGCTAATGGGTATAAAAGGACTATACCTTTTCCATGTGATTGAGATGACACCCATACTATGGTTATAAGTTAATCATCTCGGAAAAAAATGCCTAAATATTTTCTTAATTTGGTAGAGAAGATGGGGCATATGTGGAAGATCTATCTCAACATAGTTATCCTATCATCAGAACATATTATCTATCTCCAAAAAGCAAACTTGTCCTTACAGATCTCAAAAAAGACACGACTAGCAGGGGTCAAAATATAAAGAGTATGATCGCATTATTAGATAGAATAAAACAGTCACAAACCTTTACACTCTATGCAAGAAGGTCAATAGAAGAGCAGATAGAATCATACATATGATTATCCAGAAAAAATAGTGGCTTTTATCTAAAAATTTCAATAGATAATAATATATATAATTTGATAGTCATGAGATTTCCTTCATTCGATATATCAGTTCGAGTACGGTTTATTTGATGTGGGTGTTGGTTTCTCACAGGCGCACACCCCCATGGTTAATTATATCATAGGCCTTAGCTCGAGAATTATCTTAATTAGGGATGTCATTTTATCCTCTTCTTAGTTTTGTGTGTAGTGGGATTCATATACTCTTCTAATCCAAGGGAGATATGCTTAACAGACTAATCAACACACTCAATAATTATGCAATCATCCAATTGGTATGAGGGAAAGAAATTAGGAAAGGAGATGTCACCGAAGTATATATGCGCAAAAGATGAAAGCGGCTCCATTAATGTGACATGGATAAATGGCATTTATTGCCTCCCAAGAATGAAAAACTTACTTAATGATAAAGCATACAACAATATACTTATATCGCTAGCCTTTGATCCTAAATCTATAAATGGTGTACTGTCCTTTGAGTAATAACGCCCTCGACCTAACTAATGAAAGACAATAAGGGGAATTAACTTAAATCCCATCAGGGTCTAAGAAGCCCCAACCTGGATTTACCACCTTGCTCGAAAAGATGTACAAGCTAAACTTTCACCTAGCATCTTAAATCCATATAATCTCATCTTATGCAAATGCAAGAGTGGTGGGAGGTATAGAAAAAGAATGGGTCGTAAGCCCTCTATGTGATAAAATAAAATATACATACTTGACTTAAGCTATGCATGAAGGGTAGGGCTAATCAGAATTAGCCAATAGCCATTGTTAAGTGGACTATGCTTAAAATATTAATCATATTTTAAAGATTAATCCAAGAGTGATTATGCACTAGTTTTAAAAAATTTGTTTATTTTAAGTTCCATGTATATTTTATCTTACTTAGAAAAATTGTATCTTTATAAAAAAATTAACATCCTAAGAACCTAAAGTGGACTCCATTTGAGCCACCCTAAAGCAAATCAATGAAAAAAATACCTAAGAAAAGCATACAATTCTAGTGCGCAATCAATATAAACACACTAATTATCACATAATTTATAAGGAATGAATGGCCAGAAATATACCTGAGTTCTACAATACACCCATGGAAAAGAGAAAAAGGGTAACTGAGCTATATCATAGCTATAACTTAGCCTGAAACTATACAAAAAAGAAATGGTGTGTTGGGTCTTAATTAATCTTCACATGTTTTAACTCCTGCCTTTTGAAATACCCACACACCTACATTACTTTTCTAACTAAAATTTTATATGAAAAAGAAAAATTATAAAGGCTCCCTACGAAATAGAGAATAACATAATTATTATAAAATAATCATATGTCTACATCCAGACCTAATTCTTAGGACCACATTCCCAAGGGCTTAGCAATCCTCGTGATACCTATTAAATAGCACATTTATGATAATGATTGTAGCGTTTTAATTTACCCTTTAAGAATGTGGCCACGTGTAGAATATATCTCTATAAAAATTTGAACAACTTAAGAGCAAGTGCTCACTTATCAATTCACAAAATAAAAAATAAATAATTTAAAATAATCCAAGCTAGAAACACAAAATCACATCAACCCAAATATAAAGTATAAAATTTAAAAAAAAAAAAATTAAAAAATATTATTCTAACTACACTCTATCCTAGGATGACTACAAAAAAGTGTAATATACAGCACCTAAGTGTGTGCACAATTAATGTTACCTAGCTACCCCAATTTAAGTAAATGGTTCAAGTTGCAAGGTCAAATTCATATTGTTTAATTTATTAACCAAAAATTTCTCTTTAAGTGATTAGCCATTTAAGGTAAATTAATTATAACTCTACTTTAGCATAGATCATTAAGTTATAAAGAGTCCAAATACACGAGTCCTATCATATACTAGAGTTTTAAAGAATTGAAGGTCAAATGATCCATCCTCAATCCTACACCTAACTAATGCTAAAGTGGTTATAAGACTAAAAGGATAGTTAGACCCTCTTTAGTTTCCTAGGACTCGAAGTAAGGTAAATAGGTGACACACCAACGTAAACATATTGCCCACCATTAAAAAAAATCTTAGACTTCCTATGTCTAAGATTGATCAATTTTAAAAGGATGATATATGGATGGAAGACTCACTGCCTAAAAATATATGAGGGTTCTACCTGACTTAGGTTTTGATACTTATATGGTTAAAGAATTGGATTTAGCTCATAAGGGTAGCTTTAGATTTCTAGAACAGAAATCATTTGTGTAGATCTTGAGACCATTCTACCTTAACTTATGAGGTCAGTGGCATTGTCAAAATGTGCATGAGGACTAAGACCTTCATAAAACACGTAGTCCTATAGCTCGAGGTAGTTCAATCTATAAATTTTGTTGACGTAGTTTGTACTGATTAATTGATTTGATTATTTTTAACTTGGATGATTGATTTAGTTTGATTAATTGGTTAATTATTAATTTATCATCAATCATTTATGTTAAGTAACGATTACATTTATTTATAATTACATGCACCACGATTATGAGGTTTATTTCATCACCCTTGGGGCTAATTTAAAAGTCTCATAAGCCAGTGTTACCCAATAATTATATCTTGATTTGTGTTTGAATTAGCTTGCACATTTAGATTAATTTAATTTGTTGATCAGTGATTTATTAAGCAATTATTTAAGTTAGGTGGTAATTATCTTTGGTAATATATATATATATACACACACGCATGAAGATAGCATTTATAAGTCTAAATCTTGACATGAATTTCAGCATAGCACTCCCTAGCCATAAGCAAATTCCCATAAAATTTTAAAATAGCATTTATATTCTTATTATTCATTCGATAATTTTGATTTATAAATGAACTCGACCATCAATATTAAGTAAATAATATTTTTAGCCTCAAATCAAGTGCTAAAGCCATACATTATAGCTCTCATTTTGACTGTTGAAAGCTCAAAGGACGCCTTTTCCCAAGTTTCTAATGAAAATGACATTATAGCTATCATCTTTAATGATTATATGTTGAAATTATATATATCTTAAATATATTTAAAATAGGATTATTAATATAATTGATACGTCATGCGAAAATTAACTTGATCGGACACGAATCTCGAGGCAAAAATCAAGTTGGAAACTTCAAAAATTAAATATGGGAGCACCTGAGCTCCTATTTCAGCGAGCTTATAGTCAAACTGAGCGTCTCGGAAATACGAATCCAACGACACCAAACGCGACCCAATCCGAGTCCAAATGGGTCCAAATCATGGATCCGAAGCGTTGTTGGAAGGTTCAAACCACTATTTGAGTTACCAAACGGACTCCTATTTTGACGAGCTTATACTCGAATCAAGGGCTCGATGAGACGAATCCAACAAGCCCAAGATCACAGAATTC